GGCGTGGCGCCTCCTCAAGCAGCGCAGCCCCGCACGTGCGTCGCGCCTTGGAGACAAGCTTGCTGACCAGCTGGCACGTTGTGGCGTAGTCAAAGCTGTTACTGTTCGCGTCAGCGGCGTCCACCGCCACCTGCAGCTTCCGCGCACACGTCTGCAGATCAACAACCGACGTGCTCATCTCCATCATGCGCTCCAGGCGGCCGCGCGGGTCAATGACGGCGATCTTCTTGAGGAGCTCGCGCGGGGATAGCAGCATCATAAGCGACGGTGCGGCTCTTGCTGTCGCTGTGACTGATGATGGTGACGTGCCTTCTGTTGCCCCTGGAGCAGCAGCAGCAGCCGTGGTGGCGTCGCCGTCGGGTGTGAGGCCAGCGGCCCACTCGGCCTTCCGCACGCCGTTCTGCTCGCAGCGAATGACGAACTCATGCGCGGCGGGCGACATCGACACTTTGCGCGCGGAGTATAACTCGAACATGCGCTCCAGCGCAAGGTACACCTCACGCCTGTGCTCGTGGCAGAATGTGGCGAATAGGTCCTCCGCGGTGTTGCTAAGGGCCTGCAGAAAGCCGTTGAGCTGCCGTGGGTCGCGCAGGCTCGTGTCGTGGTTCTGTGCGATGAAGTCCGCCACCGCGGCGCCGTCGACTAACGTGCGGCGCAGCTCCACGAAGCGTGAATGCGGCTTTGCCTCCGTCCTTGACTNAAGTCCGCCACCGCGGCGCCGTCGACTAACGTGCGGCGCAGCTCCACGAAGCGTGAATGCGGCTTTGCCTCCGTCCTTGACTTCTGCAGCGACGGCTCCACACCCACGTCATCCTCTGCGACGGTGTCCGTCGCCCGCTGCTGCTGCTCAGATCTCCGGGTGTGGCCGCCGCCATTGTGCCTTGCGGGTGTGTGGCGCTGGCGTTTGTGTGGGGCGTTCTTCGTCGCGCCCGACGCGCCACCGCTCTTCTCCGCTATCGATGAATCCATTCGGCAGACTCCGCAACAGGACACACAATAAGGGAACAAGCCAAACGAAAAAAAAAANTCCGCTATCGATGAATCCATTCGGCAGACTCCGCAACAGGACACACAATAAGGGAACAAGCCAAACGAAAAAAAAAAAAGAAGACAAGGGAGAAAGCAACAAGAACAACAGCAGCATCATCTAGGGCGAAGTGTGAGGCATGCACGAGCCACCCCGGGGTCTGTGGGTGTATGTGTATGTTGGGGGGGGGGATCGCAGCAGCAGCACCAGCAGCAATAAGACAACAACAGAGTGGAACAACACCAACAGTAAGACGAAACGGTTAGAAGATATGCGCAGACCACGCACACATGTACCCAACAACACCAGCAACAAAAAACGACAACAAAACCAGGAGGGGGAGGGGAATGAGACTGCGAGAGCCATATGACTCTCACCCTTCTCACTCTTCTTGTTTTTTTTTTTTTTGCGCCTCCTTC